TGACTGCCCCGCAAAGACCGGCAGCTGTTCAAGCCCAGACCCAAATCCAAACCCTTTCACACACGCACACACACACAAAACACACAGATACTGAGAAGACACACTCAGCTCTTTATCAATGCTACAAGCGCTTAATGTCGTCAACTTTCGGGCAGCTTTTCGCAAGTATCTGCTGTTGTTATTGTTGTTTTTTTTTTGGCTGTTGTTGTTGTTGTTGTTTGGTTGTTGTTGCAGCTACCTTTCCTGATTATTTGCGCTCGTGAGTGAGCGAACGAGCAAGCCGCGAGCTGCACTTGCCATGAGAAATGCACAGCAGGCAGGTGCCTCGCCAAAACAGGAATAACATCATCAAAGTCTTTACCATCCTTTGCCTTTGCATTTGCCTCTGCGTCTGCGTCTGAGGCGTGTTCTTCCTCTTCGTGCCTGCCTGTCAGGCTGCCTTCAATCACCGGACTTGTAAGCAGCTACACACTATCTTGGCCGGCTTCTTAACTGATTTGCATGCACCACACAGTGGTTTAACGCGCTGTAAATTCGGTAAAAAGTATCCTTGGTTTTCACTTCTTTAGGGGACTTTCCATGTTTACTAACTATATTTAAATACAACAATTATTGACCCAACAACTCCAAGTTACTAAAAGTTTCTAAAATCGTTTCGAATTTACGTTTAAAAAAAATAAATGTTTCTGTAGAATAGTGTCGCTAAATAAAACTGCACTCCTAAAAAGAGCCAAAAGTGTTGCAAAGTCTCAGAGCGTCGATAGCTATTATAATTATGTTATATTCATAGTTATATTACTTTTATGTACTTCTAAGAAATTATTGTAAGCCCCTTCCCTGTGATGAATATATTACCTTTTTCAATATTATACGCCCTTCTATGTACAAATAGACAACGATAAGTCATTACTTCCCAAACATTTTAAGAGCTTTACTTTTTTATTGCAGAACAGAAAGGTTTATTGTATATTCCATATTATAGTATGTAAGTATCTTCCAAAAACTATCCAATGGTTTACCAAGTGATAATTCCTTTAAAGATATTTTCTAAATAAGTTACTCATTGGTATTTAAGAAATGGCTCTTATTTTTTGTGAAGCTTCAATTACTTTTAAAGTGCTTGCAAATCTATTGCAAATCGTAATTTAATGTCTATTTCGGCCAGTTTGAATGATGCTAATTGCTCATAATTATAAAGGATGTTTATTAACTGCTTTCCTCTTCTTCTGAGAATAATGGGGCAAGTACTTTCATTCAAAATTTTGCACTATGTATTAAAATTATGGAAGGCATTCTTGTAACCTTTGAGTTAATATGTTTCGTCATTGAAACATATTCTCAGATAACACTAACCACTCTTAAACAAAAAGCCTCATTAAATACAAAATACAAATCATACTTCAAAATAGTTTAATCAACTTTTAACTAAAATCTCTGACATAAATTTATGCCTCTCTTCTATTTTAAATTTATATCGCTCGTGATATTCTTTGGTTTTATTCCAATACATAAATAGTCAAGAATTCGCCAAATTCTTTTCAATTTCCGAATACAGCTTACACATTTCTTTTCCTTCCCAGTCTAAGCTTTATATTTAGCAAATGAGTTAGTTCGTGGTCTTTCCTTCTATGCAATATCTTTAACTTCGTTTACATGCAAACAAGCTGAATTCTTAGAAATACAACTGTTTACAGACAAAGCTATCCACTCACGATCCACACATTGAAGCCCACTGTACGGGGGGCTAGAAATGAACATTTGATGTTGTTTTTGTTGCTGTTTCTGTCGTTGTTATTTCTATACTTGTTGTCGCCGTTGTCATTATTTATGTACATACAATGCTTAACGAACTACTCAAATCAATCAAAAATGCAGCCCATTGTGCGCGCCACTTTAAACAAATTTAATATAATAATTCCGTTTATGATTTATGCGTCAACTACGCGTCTTGCATTACGAATATTATTTCCAAGATTTTGAAGTGCTCGTCTGTGGACTTGGACTCCACCCCACCTAATTCCAATACATGTACATGCTTATATATACTTATATGTCTATGTGTATGTATATTGCCAAATGCCAATTCATATCAAAAGAGGTCAGCCAAACCCAAGTGTGTACAAATTGCTGGACAGTCAGTTCTGCTTAAGCTGAGCAATATAAATATATAGTATGTACATATGTACATATATCCATATATTTGCATATACTATACACGTATGAATGTACGTATAGTGTGTCTCTGCATTTTTCGTAAAGTCAACAAAAACAATTTGCGCAACATATGGAAAAAGGCTAGCGATTCATTAAAGGTATTTATATTGTATAAAAAATGTACATTGTATGCAGTTTTGTTGTCACAAGCACAACAACAACAACAACAATAGAGTTGTAAATTAACTGCCAACTGCAAGTCAGAGACCTCAACGATTCGTTGAATCGTTCCCGATCTCCTCCCTAGCCTAGCACTGGCCACCGTTTCAGTGTCCAATTGAAAGCAACGTGGACATCAATCCGCTCTACATTTTGCTATTCCAACAATACTAAGTACATACATACATACACATAGTATGTGTACGAGTAACAGTAAATGGCGGCAAGTTTCCGGTTCGGCAGCCACAACGACAACTTTTGCTAAATTAAAACAGCATATAGTTTTAATTACCGACAAGCCAAAACTTTCAACAATAGTTTTGTACACTCTCTATTCTGAAAAGGATGTAGAACAAGTTTCTAATTGGCAAGAAGGTGGGTTGTGGATATTCTCAACCTAATACAGGGGATTCAAATCGTAGTAAGGTCGTTGACAATCTGAACAAAAGTTCTTTTATATTTAAATACATACGCAAACAGCATTTCAAAGATTTTCAAAAACATAGATCTTAACTATGGCGTATCTTCTTATCTTTATTATTTGTGTTTTCAAATCGAAAAATGCGATATTTCCGAATTGTGGTTCGTGGAAATAAATAATTTGTATATGATTGGAAAATGATTTACCAGTACTTAATACTTTTTCAGAAAAATTTGATACTCGTTATCAATATAATGAAATTGACAGCGCATTTTAATGTCGGTTCTGCCCCATTATAATATTCCACTTTGCTTCTTTTACATTCGTTGCTATATTTCACAACACACACATGCTCTAGAGTTTGCAAATTTGCCAAGCTGGCAGAAACGAGCATTATTTTATGCATTTGATAAATGTCCAAAGTTACCGCACTTTTGTTTACCTAATTAGGTTTATTTATTTGTGTGCTAAATAAAAGTGACTCATTTGTGTCATTGATGTGGAGGGGTGGCAGCAGAACTTTATTTTCTCTCCGAATTTGCGAGAACAGCGTTTTTCTAATTGACCAAAGGGTATGAGGTATGAGGTATGCAATAAACTTCCGGTAAGCAAAACATTGAACTAATGGAATGGATCGGTTGTTCAAAAATACTATAGTCTAAGAAAAGTCCAGTAAGTGGATACATTTGTCAGTACTGGATAGATATATACAGAAAGCAAATGGTTTTTAAAGCAGTCGATATGTATGAATAGTTTGTTTAGTTTTAAAGCAAATGGAGCAGAAGTACTATATTGGATACACCATCTGAAGTGAAAGGTTACACAAATGGTTCATGGTTCAACGAAAATCGGGGAAAGCAAGAAGGATTTTTAAACTGTATGAACAAAAGCTGTCAACCGTCGCACACCCACTTTCAAGAAATTAATACTTCAAGAAATGTTAATTTGTCAACATTAATTTTTTATTTACACATATTTTATTTATATTTTAAAAATTCAGAAATGTGTATTATTTTATATATTTATTTTGCATTTTAAATATTTAAAAAAAATATAGAGATATTTATTAATTATTAATTTATTATTCTATATATAACTTATATACAAAATGTAAGAAATTTGATTTTTTATTTAATTTTTTACATCTTTTATTTATTTGTTGCTGTTGTTGTATATAAAAATTGGAATAATAATTATTTTTCTTTTATATTATAAATTAATCATTTATTTGGTCAGATTTTAAATATATATAATTACAATTTAGTCTTTTATATTTACTTTTCTTTTCTTTTTTATTTAATATTTTACTTATGTTGTTATTTATAAATAAATACCAACACATTTTCGGCCAACTTTTAACGGAAATTTGCAAAAGTCCAGCAACCCGAAGCAACTGGACTGTCTTATCTACGAATATTACCGCGTTCGCTGAGGAGCAGCTGACTTCGCTCTAGTAATTTAAGCCAAGAATATTTGATTACACAAATATTTATGCGAAACAGGCCGAGCAACAAAAGAAATGAAGGAAGAAACAATAAACACAGGACAGACACAAGTCAGCCTTGGTCTGAGAGCTTTGGCGACGAGCTGCCGACGGCAAAACGAGCAAAAAAAACCAACAAAAAAAATGTATTTTATATGCACGATGTTGGCCCGGCAAGGGCGTAAAAAGGTTTTAAGCGGATGAACGCATGCGCAGCTGCAAAACGCCGAGAATTGCGTTGATTTATGAAAGTGCACGAAATGGCAGACACAAACACACACACAAACCCACACACACACATACGGATACACCTAAGGGGCGCAAGAAAATTGCCAATATATGAAAATTAAGGCACACTATTTATACATATGTATGTGTGTGATGTGTGTGTGGTAGTTTTAGTCGATGTGGAGCAGAATGCTGACTGCCTATAAATTTGCATATGTGTGTAGGCACGCACCCACGCAGTCAGGATACATACACTGCGAAAAAATACGCCTTGTCAAGCTATGGTTTTATTCCTTATAAATCTTGGTTTATTTAAGCCAAATTTTTGCTTTATGTATAGAAATTGTTTACTTCAGGCCACAAACGTGATTCATATTTCGTAAAATTTGCCCGGTCTGATTATTTTAGACAAGTAATTCCCTTTATTATTTAAATTTACACTTTTCTTTCTCCGTCTACTGGAGTATTTATGAAGAAATGTGTAAGTAGACTTACTTGCATGCCCGGATATCCGTAGGTGCTCTGATAGAGCACCAGCGTCATGTAGACGATGGCTATGGCGAGTGTCATGGCTTGCAGAAGGCGTTTGAAACGTTGCGGCAATGCAAGCACAGTAAGGCTCATCATATGTTGGCGTTACCGTTTGTTGGTGTGCGCCCCTCTCTCTCACAGACACTCACGCTAGTACCTCTCTGGCCACAGCTGTTTGCGGGCCTACATTGAGCGCAGGATGTAACTAACTGAAAACTTTAATTTTCGTTGCCTTCTTTCAAGTCGAGCTTAATAATTGGCGCACAATTGACACACTCACACACACACACGGTCTACTTCTATTAACTGTTGTCGTAGTTTATGTTCTGATACGATTTTTATCTGCGTTACGAGTACTTTGACTTCAACTTCACTTCGACTTGGTTGCGGTATGAAAAATGTATAAAAAGAAACGCGCGCGCGCGTACGTCTTGCTTGCGACGAGTTTGCTGAGCAACTGAATTTGTGCGCCGCCGTGAATGCGACTCAAGCCCAAGTGGCGGCGTTCCAACGAAAATCGTAAACAAAACAAAAACCAGAAAGACATGTTTTCTAGAGCGAGCGCCAGAGCGTACGTGTGTGCTCCAATTGGAAGCGTAGCATTGCACGTACTATGTAGCGTATGCAAGTGAGATAGATAGCTCACTCGAAGCTGCACTGCTCGCTTCCAATAAGAGCGTGCGTTGGCGTTGAGCCCAGTTCGGCACCGATCGCCCTCTCGCGCTCTCACAAACAGTCGCACAGCCGCTCTTTGGTTATGATTGCTTCGTGCGATCGTTGATTTGTTAGTTCCGCCTCGGCATGTGCCACAGTAGCGCTGCCGGCTATACTTGCAGCTGCTCGGCGTGATTGTGAGTGACTGTTGTTGCGAGTGTGGGCGTGGGTGTGGGCGTCAGCAGGAGTGGGCATTGCAGTTATCCTTTTTGCCACTTTAGGCTGATCGGCTAGAGGCCGGTATGTACTTTTATTCCATGGCATAATTGAACACATAAACCAAAAGGGCGCGACGTGCTGCTGAATCATCAGCAGCCAAAACCATAAATTCAATAGCTCTTCACTTTTATGCAAAAAACGCTCACGTCTTGGTCGGGCTGTGCAATTGCTACAGGACCGGCAAGCTGCCACTGCCGACGTCACAGGCAAACGACAATTCCATTAAAAGTTGTACACTGTCACTTTGCGTTAACTTATCTTTGGAGCATGTTGTGCGATCGCATTTTTATTGTCGCCATTGTTTCTGCAATACCCACACACTAGCATGTGGAACCCTAGCACACACACCTACTGTTGCACAGTGATGCGACCACAGCCATTTTTCAGCTAGATTTCTTTCACATTATTTTTTTGCAGTCCAGAACTCCAAATTTTTGTATTGTTTTTTCTGCAAATTAACATACCTAACTACTATATGTTGTTTTTAAAACTATCAATTCATATTAATATTAGCTTCTTGATAGTACTATTAACTAAAAAGTTTTAAATATTATATTTATTTTGTATTTTTATTTTTATTTGGAATACTTATCAGTAAATACAAAGACAAAGCTAGTAAAATAAAAAATAGTTTAAAATGATAAATAAAAATTTAAAAAAGACACAAATTCAAAATGTGTTTGGAAAATAAATCAACAATAATATGATTATAGTCACTTTACTACGATATTTGCTTAACATAGTACCAGATTTAATTATTTTACACAAAAATGTCATAATGGGCAATATTTTCTGACTGCCAGAAGTGGATCCACTATTTAAGGAACTATGTATATATGATTCAATATAAATAGTATATAATGGTGACAAAAGCACATTAAATTACTAATTTTTTTATTGCACTTCGATGATTGTTCAAATTCCCAGCATTCCTTTAGGCAGTAGTTCTTTCAGAGCGACTCCCAGCATAATAAGCAATAAGCCTTTGCAATAATTTTTACGAATTTCATCATTTCCTGAAGGCATAATGTCAAATAATTTTTCTTTTCTGTAACATGTTATCCGTTTGGAAACAACATTTAAGGCAAGGTATGTGTATTTTTCAATGAATTTTGAATCTTTTAACAACCTTTAGCGATTTTTACAGATCCATCTCATTCTTTCATCAACAATTGGCATCACTGCCGCAACAGAGCGCTCTTCGCCAATGCTCTGCTGTTTTTGTCGCATGCTTTTTCTGTAGCACTTCGTTTTTCACAATGCTTTGCATGCGCTGCTCCCTATAAGTACACACTTATGTATGTGTGTGTGAGCCCAGCCTGTCATATTCCATGTTTGTGCTTGCGACAAAAGCTTTGCTTCTGCGTCGTCGTCGACGTCGACGTCGCTGCTCACACAATCAGCAACTCGGCATCTTGTTCGCTGTCCCTTTGTGCGCCTTTCGCCTGAATTGCATTAAAAAGGCAGCAATACCCGGCCGAGCAGTCGGGCTGCCAGCCTGCCAGCCTGCCAGGCTTCCAAGCAGCCAGGCGGCCAAATGTTCGGGCCAGGCCAACCTTGTTCTGCCACAGAAAAAGACATCGTCGCCGCCGCCATCGCCGTTGCCGTTGCTCCCCATGCCTCATTTTTAATGTGCACTTTACTGCACGTATGGATAGTATGTATGTGTGTCGGTTTGCAACTCGGCTGCAATTCTCAACATACAGTAAAAGCCCCCCTAACTGGCACATTAAACGAACATATGACAAGATCGTGAAGCTTCATAAATAAACATTTCACCAGCTTTTTCAAAAGCAATGCTATATCAGTAAGAGTACAAGTTCCTTTACAAAAATAATTGAGTTCTTCATTTTTAATTTAAAACCAAATATTTCGAACATCGGACAAACTATGAACAAAGTAAAAATGTTGAATGGCCAAAAAATATATGGATCGTTTGTTCGTTCAAATCTTCACTGTTTTTGAGAGTCTTTGTGTGTATATGTTTGTTGTTGTTGTTTTCGTAGCTGTACTGGTTGGGCATGTGCCACTGCCTCCGCCACACTCCACAGCCGCCAAACATGCAGCACCATATTGTGGCCCAACTTCGTTTATCGCTAACCTTGTTAGGATTGTAAAATGTAAACTGAAGGCGTTGGTTGCTTGCTGGCCTGCCTGCCTGCCCACCTCCTGTCTCCTGTCTCCTGCCTGCCTGCCCGCCTGATCCGCTCCTTCCTACTATTTTGCCATACACTCGACCAAATCTGCACTACAGTTGCAGTCTTGAATTGCCCTCGCAGTGTCTAGTGTAGAGCTTGGAGTGCTGCACTCGACGATTGCCACGCTTCGGCACACGTTGCCATCGGAGGAGGCTTAATCGAAAAACGGGCGCACAGTCTTTGGCTGCCGCCCTGCGGTTAGGAGTGTCGCCAGACAAGACCAGAGCCGGCCAGAGCGGGCCAACTCGAAACCAAACGAAGGTGCGCGTGCGCAGCCAGCAACCAGCAACGTGTTCATTTTTCATGACTCTTTTCTACTTTTGGCCATATTTCTCTGTTGTTGTTGTTGTTGTTGTGGTTGAAATTATGCCCAGTAGTCATGCAAAGGGTGGCCGCTGCCACAAAACTGGCGCAGAATGTGTAGCAGAAAATTGGTTCGCCGTTTTGAGCGATGCCCAGCAACAGGAATCTTGAGTGATGCACTGACTGACTGCCTGACTAAATGACGGACTCCACTTTGACTGAGTGAATGACTTCTTGACTGACTGCGGCTTGATTGCTCGCTTGTCTATGTCTGCGCACACACACACACACACACACACACATGGCTTGGCAGTCAAATCAGTGAAGACACAGACTTCCACCTCGACTGTGGTGGCAGTGACATCCAACCATGCAACGTCCAATGCTGACGACGCTGACAACGCTGGCAACACTCGCAACTCTGGTTCAGTTCATCACAAATTCTTTACCAGCATTTCCATGTTTCCACCCGACAAAAATATACACAGTTCTCGAAATAACATATTAATTTAAGTTATATTGAAAGACCCTCTGCGCGAAGTATTTAAGAAAGAAAGTAGTAGACAGACCTTATTTTAAAGATGCACGATGAGACGAATCGATATGGCCAAGCTTGATATTCAAGGTCTCCTAAGTCGGCGTCAAGATTATTTACTTTCCGATGGATCAGCCTGTATTCCATCAATTCTTCTCAATTGATTTCATCAATGCGTGACATATTTGTTAAACATCGCTTTTTTGGAGAATCAATTTTGCATGTCAAGCAAAATGGATAAATGAATCAGTACATTATTACATGAATCGAATTTTTTATTGTTATATTTATTTGTTATTTTTCAGAACATAAAGCTGTTGATGCAGAAAATCAATAAAAAAAAATATAACTTTAAATAAACAAAATTGAAATCTAAAAAAGCCTTTGTAAATTACAATAATATTTTATTTGCTAATCGGCCAGCTATGTCCCGGTTCATAGCACAATGTAGTCAGAGACCTAACAAAAATAAATAGATGTAAAGGAATTAAAATAATAATCAACAATAATAAAAATATAGTAAAATTAAATTAAAATATTTGAATAATAGACAATGCAAATATATTTTAAAAACTGAAAAGTGGAGAATAACTGATCCGGTGGGGACGGTTTACTCGCCAGTCCGGCAAGCTATGCCCCAGCTCGCAGCCAAGGTAATCAGTGATTATCTCGGAATGATAATAGAGGTTTTTAGTAAGGGGAGGTACAGTTTACTAGAGAGCAAGAAAGTGATTCAAATTAATGATGGCTTAAAATTGCAGCTAACCTAAAATTCAATAAACTAACACCCAACCTTGAAGTGTAGCCAACGCAGCCTAATTACCACAATTCCTACCAAAATAACTTAAAAGTTCAAAACTACTTCTGGCAACTAAGTATGTACGTACATTAATACTGAAATACTAAAACTGAGTTACATTTTTTTGTATTATTTTTGAAAAAGCAAAAATGAGAGATTTCAAAACGTGCATCATGAAAAATATATGCAAGCTCGATCTCATCTGAAATGTTGTTCAGCAATACTGGATGAATCCGAGAGAATGCACCCAAAAAGAGCTTCCGATATTGATAAAGAGAGAGCTCAACTAACTATTATATAAATACTCTTTGATATATTTGAATATTTTTAAAATACAATACAATTATTGAAATGAATATTACAACTAATTTCGGCATAGAAGTTTCGTTAGATTTACGTTAACTACTTTATTAAAACTTTTGATTTTGTTGGCGACTTATTCGAAGATTTTTTGAAAGATCGGTAAATACTCGAGTGCTCGAACATGCCACTTTGTTTAGGCATTGCAACACTAAATATTTATACCTTGTACCCAAAAGGTAAAGGCGAATACTAGTGTTTTTTACTTTAAATGCTCTATAAAGGTCTTCTGTACAATTTGTAAAAACATTGAAGTTCTCGATAGTTTCGTTTATTTGGTTTCTCTTTCAGTTTTG